TGCTTGAGGAAGGAGCAAGGCTGCCCAGACAGAGGCCATTCCTGATGTCCTGAGCCACAGCATCGCCCTGTCCCTTCTCAGCACATGGCCCTGCTCCTGCCCCTTCCTGGCCTTGTGTGAGGGCCAGGGGGGATTAGGCAGACAATTGGGGGTCAAAGCTCAACCCTGAGTGCAGGATTTAGAGGAAAGCCCTGATCCTCCCAAGGCAAAGGGCAGAGTGGCATAAGGAAGTGTATTGAAAAGGCTGAAAGGCAAACAAAACAAAATCAGATATTGAATCTGCCCATCTGAAGACTTTTGTGAGTCTTAAGTCTCACAAAGACGTAAAGCAGTGAGAAGAGGAGCTGTTACTTTGTGGGACGTAAAATGGCTGTGCCCCAGTTTGTGGTGGCTGAAAACTTTCCCAACGCTGTACCTTGAATAAACATTGTCAATCCCAGCGGAGCTGAGGTTTCTTCCTGGTAGCGTTTGTGAGTCTTGTTAAAGGATTTCACAAGCACTTTTCAGTGATTCTGGTTGCTTCTCTGCACCCACACCCTTGGGATTGGGATAGCTTTGGAATCTCACCATCTCATTTTATGGTCAGGGAGGCTGAGCTCAGATGGTCTGGTGGCTTCTTCTGGCCGTGCTGGGCTGGCACCCCGTGCGTTGTCCCCCACTCCCGTAAGGTGACCACAGCGGACCAGCAGCTGTGATCAGCCTTTCTCCCGTGCAGCTCCACCTCCTCCATCTGTGGAACTGCGTCATGTTCGTGGGGAGCACAACAGCTGCTGACAGGGAAAAGCAGCACCAGGAGCACAGGGAATATTTAGCTTCTTTTAATTGAGAAGCATTTTGAGTTAAAAAGTTAATCATGCTGTCGGCTTTTGTTCCTTATTTCTTCTCCCCCTCACAGCTGTTTCTGTCAACTAAAAATAAGCTGAACCAGCAAACAAAACATGAGAAATCAGCTCCCCACAGAGAGCTCAGATTGCAGCAGAAGATGCTCCTTGAGTGAGCTGCGGTGCAGAGTCCCCTCAGGTAGATCCTGTTCTTTCCAGACATGGCAGGGTTATATTTGAAGGACAGGTATAGCCAAAACATGGGTGGGCACAGGGAGGTGGGAGGTGAGGTTTTCAGAAGCAGTAAACCTTGGCCTGGTTTGTCCCCTCTGGAATAGGATGGCAGGACATCCAGGTGGTTTTGTCACTGATAGAGAAACCAGATCAGAGGCTGACGGGTGTGTGGTGGGACATACAATACCTAAACATGGCCACTTGGCGAGACCTTCCAAAGCCCCTGCAGCCCCTACCCAGGGCTGGCAGGTGGGACAGGAGTGGGATCTGCACCTTCTCCAACAGGTCAGGTTGGATTCACCATGCTAAACACAGGTGCACCTCCTTGGAAAGCCATTACAGTGAAGAGTCAGTCCCTGCAGAGGAGAAGGCTGATTAGTGCATTATTTGATCACTGTTTCCGGCTTCTGAGCTGGATTTCCCTTGGAGAGGGACTTTTCACAAGAGCGTGTAGTGATAGGACAAGGGGGAATATCCTTAAGCTGGTGGAGGCCAGGTTCAGATTGGCTATTACGAAGAAATTCTTAGCTGAGAGGGTGGTGAGGCCCTGCCACAGGTTGGCCAGAGAAGCTGTGGCTGCTCCATCCCTGGAAGTGTCCAAGGCCAGGTTGGACAGGGCTTGGAGTAACCTGGGCTAGTGGAAGCTGTCTCTGCCTGTGGCAGGGGATTGGATTGAGATGAGCTTTAACGTCCCTCCCAAACCATTCTGGGATTCTCTGATTTCGTTATTTATCCTGCCTCTTTCTCCACTAAAGAGCAGACAGAGGGTTGCATTTCTCCTAGATCAGAAAGCCTCCTTGCTCCCTTCACTTCTGGCTGTGGAAATGAGGGTAAATACAACAAAGATGCTTGGTTTGCCTTGATTGCTGTGATTTAAACAAAACTCAACACAGGGGTAACACTCGCTGTTCTGCCAAACCTGGGATTCTCCAGGCATTGGAGATGCTCTGCACAAGCTCCAGTTTCACTCAAGGTGTTGATCCCTCTTCTGAGGAGATCTGAGGGCCTGAGACCATCTAAGCAATGCATTCAACAGCAACATTTCCCCCTGGAAAAACTGAAAATTTGCTGAAAATACCTTTTAGCCAGACAAATATCAGCTTGCACTTTCCCAAGTCCATGTGAGAGAGAGAGGATACAGATTATCATTCACTCGCTGCCTCAGCCGCTTCAGCTTTTAAAGCCTCTTCAGAAATCTGTGAAAGTCTCTTTAGAACTAGTCCATTTTTCCACCCTAATTTGTTAATGGATTGCAATCAGACTCAAATGTACTGATTTTAAGGACAGAGCAAAGATGAAGAATTTCAGTTAAATAGGACTTGGAGACAGTGATATAAACCTATATGAATGTAACATCCCCTCTAAACTCTTCAGTTAGTGAACAGGTTAACAAACAGCTAAGTTTAGGCATTCAGAGTTTTCAGTCTGGTGAAAAAGTTGCAGACAAGCACCTGAACGCTGGAGGTTGCATTACATGCTGTTGCAAAAGTAATATAATTTATCTAGACAGTAAAGTGACACCTGTCTCATTTCACAGCAGAACTGTGTGGTTTGCAGAGGTTTTTCTAACCAACACTGTCCAAGATAGTTCCAGAATTGAAAAGAAAATGCCCGTGATGTCATAGGGCCATATGAAGGTTAGTTAGCCAAGCTGAAACCTGAGAGTAATTAGCTCAGCTGCAGAAAGGTCCCAGCTATGCTGGCTTCAGGATCCAGCATTTCTGCAGGGCCTTATGGATACGAGAGTGGCTGTGGCTTGGGAAAAAGGGAGTCATTTCACTACAATTTTTACTTAGTCTGTGATTATTCAATCAATGGACACGGGAATTTTATATTATAGTGGCCATAAAAATGTATTCTGGCAGTTTTAAAGCAGCATCTTTCCCATCTTTCCCGCAGTTCAAAGGGCAAACGAAAGTAATCTGGGCCATTTAGTGCATGAAATGCTCCATGAATGCTCCTGGCAAATCTCTCCCTTTCGTCATAAGTCTGAAGTGCTGAGAAGGGAGGAGAGAAAATTTTCTCTGGAAAGAGCCAATTCTCAATTGAAATAGTCCTACCAGGCTTTGTAACATTTCCTGTCCCATTTTTGAAAGGTGAGATAACTCAGCTCTTTATTACACCTTTAGCATAATATAATAACTGGTCTGGAGAAGGAGCTGCTCTCCAGGGGAGGAAAGAGCTCCTCCAAATCCACAAATCCAGCTGCAAATTGGGTGGAAGTGTTTGTCTGAGATCCCAAGACGATGAGGCAAAAGTTTTATGTCAGGACATCTCAACATATTCTCTGGTGGCCACATCCCGTTCCTGTAGGTATTTCCACATGGCATTACTGATGCAATCCCTGTGTTTTACATTCATACTAACATTTATTAACAATGCTGTGGGGCTGCAAATCAGCACTGAAGAGCTGGACATCTGTGGATACCAGTCCTTTCTCCAAACTGTGTTTCTCTATCAGAAGGAACATTCTTGGGAAACATCCCAAGAGCAAAACCCTTCTCTTGCAAATCACGACATGGAACATCCCAAAAGTGAAACCTTTCCCTTGCAAATCGGGACATAGAACACCTCGAGTGAAACCCTTCCCTTGTATATCAAGACATGGAGCTACCACGAGGTGGCATCAAACTCATGTGATGGGGCATCGAACCTTCAGTTTTCAGGCATTTTTCCAGTTTGAGGACATCCCAGTGCAGCACTCCGAAGCCAAAAGAGGTGCACTGATATTTCAGAACCAGAAGCTCTAATTTCATAAATCTTCTGCATGTTTTGTTAGGTGTAATTTGACTGCCCTCCATGAGTAGCACTATTCTAGGGTGGTACCTGAATGTAAACCAGGTAAATTAACCTGTATTAAATAGGTTAATGCAGTGCTTTCCAAAATCCAGGGCTGGTCCCACCAAGGCAGAGGAAGGGTGAACATGGCTTTTAGGAACAAATGACTTGGCAAAAGTGTTCTGCAGAAAGGTTCCCAGAAAGAGGGCTGTGAGTTCTGCTGGTGCTCTCTGCCATATGCACCCGAAGGCTTAGGACACGAGGTGAAACCAGCACCTGGCACGCTGGGCCAGCTCACAGATGTGTGAAATCCTCATCCTGGCAGGTTGTGTGACAGGGCACAGCCCTTGGCACCGGGTAGGAGGTGATGGATCACCCCAGTGTCCTCCTGCAGGTGCTGCAGAAACCTGGCCCCACACTGCACAGCCCACAGACTGTGTGTGTGGGGGCTCGGGGTGGGAAAGGCACCGTGGTGCTGCAGGAAACCCATGGAAAAGGGAGCATGAGGAGTGATGCTAATGGCCCACAGGACCTGCCAGGTTTGTGTCTGTGGTGGTGTGGGTGGGTCCAGTAACAACCCACCCCCCGTGACAGCCAGACCCAGCCTGGGCAGCCCCAGCAAGGGCCACGGAGCAGTGACTGATGTCTGGAGGTTCTGGGGTGAGTTCCAAAGGTTCTGTGGAGGTACTGGAGGTTCAGTGACTTCACTGTCAGCCCAGGCCTTTCCCATCCTCTGGCTGGTTCCAAAGCTTTGCTTTGGGAGGGTCTCAGTGGGGCAGCTTTTACTCCCACTCCATTCAAGTGGAAACTTATCCCCTCTCTGGCAGAAAACAGGCAGTTTGGCCAACTTCTTAATGATATCTGATTCCCTTTAAACCCTTGCACTTTAAACACTTGAAGGGTACCACTTCTTACAGGGTACCACTTCTTACAGAAACACACTTCTGTAGGAGGGAGGGACCTGGAGCAGAGCCAAGGAGCCGGAATTGGGATACAGCATTGCACAAGAAAGGCAGAGAGAGAAGGTCTGTATCAGCCATACCAGAACTGGCAGTCACAGAACAGAGCCAAAGGCTCTCAAATTCATCAGACTTCCTCCTCCCAAGCTCTTGCTGATATGAGACATTCAATTTATACATTTTTTTAATTTATCTTTTTGTGCCATGTTTTCAAGATACTTTAAGCAGATCCTCAGCACCCCAGAGGCTGAGGTGCCAGGAAAGGGCTGTTGGGCCCATGATAGACAAAGCCACTGGCACTGCTGATTAAGGTGAGCAGCACCTTGTCTGTGTGAGCACTTATTTCCCTCTAAGTCCCTAAAGAAGACTGGCCTTATAACTCCAAGGGCAAATCCTCAGAGTCAAAAGCTCCTGGATACCTCTATAGCTTTTTTACACTTTATCCTCCTCTCAAAACAAAGAGATTCCATGCTAGGTCTTCCTTATCTTGCAGGACTGAAAGCACAGCTTCCCTTCTGTGCATGAATTCATCCCTGGAGGAATTCTCCCCCACTCCCTTCCTTGGGAACTCCTTACTGTTGTCCCTCCACCACAGGAGTTACAGGCAGCCCATCATTCTATTCCCTAAGGACTTCGTTCCCTGCTCATCCTCCAAAGGGCTTGGGAAAGCTGTGTTCATTCCCTGGTGTGCACTGGGGAAGCAGAACCCTGTTTCCTGCAGGGATGGAGTGGGGACATGGGGCAAGGGGGGACACCTGGATCACTGAGCTCAGCTCCCTGTGTACACAGCAATGTGAGTTTTCTTCAGGAGAGACCCCAGAGCTTCTTCACTGCACACCCTGTAGCACTGAGGGCAATGAAAAAGTCTCCAGGACTTTACTACAAGTTTTATAAGTACAGATAGAAAAAAGAAAAATAAAAAGGAGAAAACATGTACTTTACTCCAGTACCCAAAGAGGGCTCACAAGAGAGCTGGAGAGGGACTTTGGACAAGGGCATGGATGGACAGGACAAGAAGAATGGCTTCACATTGACAGAGGGCAGGGTTAGATGGGATATTGGGAAGGAATTCTTCCCTGTGAGGGTGGTCAGGCCCTGGCACAGGTTGGCCAGAGAAGCTGTGGCTGCCCCATCCCTGGAAGTGTCCAAGGCCAGGTTGGACGGGGTTTGGAGCAACCTGGGGTAGTGGAAGGTGTCCCTGCCCGTGGCAGGGGGTGGGACTGGATGATCTTTAAGGTCCCTTCCAACCCAGAGCAGTCTGTGATTCTGTGATTCTAATTCACTGCCAGTTCGGTGCTTTCCAGCAGCTCCGGGTTCCTGGGAAGCCCATGTGATATCTTGGAGTCCAATCAAGAATATTTTCCTAAAGCATTTTGACATGATGAGCTCCACACAAGTGAATGAAGGAACTGCCCAGGCCCAGCTCTAAAAACTCTGCTCTGGATCTGCTGCTGATCCACCTATAGCCAGGCACGAACTCCTGGCAGACAGTGGTGCCACCCCGGGTTTCAGGAACACTGCCCTAATTCCATGGTTCTGTGCTGATTACACAGCCTCAGCCACTTAATAGTGGATGTAGGGTTGGTTTTATTTCCTGTAAAGAACAGGGTGTTTGGCAAAAGAGGAGAGTGAGAGTGACAGCTGTGTACACATTTCACATATTTCCAGTGTTATTTCTCCTCCAGAGAAGAACAGAGCTGTTATTAATAATCACCTTGCCAAGTTTCTGAATTGATATTTTGAAATGAGCTGGGGATATAATTTAGGAACACAAGCAAGGGGGAAAATGTGCTTTCAATTGAACTTGAAATGGATGGAGAGTTGATGATGCAGCAAGAGAAATGATGGTGATTCTGGAGGGCTCTAGCTGAAAGAAGGAAGCTGTAAAACAGAGGTTTTCCAGACAATCCACAATAAACCTGAGAATGTTGTCCAAACACTCCTGGAGCTCTGGCAGCCTTGGAGCCGTGACCATTGCCCTGGGGAGCCTGTTCAGTGCCCAACCACCCTCTGGGGGAAGAATCTTTTCCTAATATCCAGCTTAAAACTACCCTGACACAGCTTCAGGCCACTCCTTCAGGTCCTGTAACAAATATTCCCCTGAACCCGCAATTTCCCCCCAGAATCTCAGTAAAATGGTGGGGGTTTAGATGTCTTTGTTTAATTTCCTTATTTTTAACCCAATTTAGAGGTTTTTTAAGGGATGAAGATGGATCAAAAGAAAACCAAGGCCAAAATAAAAGGATTTACATGTTGGCATCGTGTGAGTATCCATGAGGTTGGGTTGGGTGGGTGTAAAAGCCTTTTTTGGAGGGCTTTCCGCCCCATTGTCTCCAAAAGCTTTTTCTTTGCCCAAATCCATCATCATTTGGCTGTGGAAGATGCTGGAGCCTGAGAGGTTTTGGATGGAGGTGAAGGAGGCTGAAGTGGATGAATACACTTAACAAGTGTTGTTGCTTAGGCAGCACCAGAGCTTGCAAGGCACTGTGTGGCAGGAGTAACCCTTAGAAGTGTGCATTTGGCATGTGAAGGATGCAAGGTGGGCTGTGGGGCAATAGAAGTACCAGACAACATTGTCAGTGTTCCCTCTCTTGTCATCTATGAACTCCTACAGAAGGAAACAGTTTGAAAACCAGTGGAAAAGAATGAAGTGTTGAGGCATCACAACTGCAGCCTCTCCAGCTGTGACTCAGAGCCCCTCTCCACTCAATTCAAAATGAGATCTCTGAAGAAAAAATTGTGTGGGGTTCCTGCTTGCTCTCTGTAACTGCAGCAAAATTAAATCTCCTTCCTGCAACAAACGAAATCCCTGCAAAGCCTTGCCCATGGCTGATGTTACAGCAGAGGTTTATCATCTCGTCTGTGTCCCAGGGCAGACTGCTCAGTCTGCAGGACTGGCATTCATCTTATCACAGCCAACTCATCTCTGCCAGCCTTAGACCCAGTACTACAATAGTCTGGAGTTTTTCCTGCCTGCTGAGCACCACAGGCTCTGCTTGTCACAGGGCAGGCAACAACTGGGTGACAGGAACACCCTTTCGAGGTGTACACCACAACCACCGGCCAGCTGTGGTCACAGAAAACCTTCATACTCATAGAGCATCCATTTAACAAACACCAAAGGCCACGTGTTTAGAAATGTGGCGTTTACAGCCAGCAGCCCCCCAGCCCTGGGGATCCCATGACCCCTCAGAGGCCCCCTGAGGCCCCCAGGCCTGAGCAGATGTGTGCCTGAAACGCACGGCACTCTGGAGCTGCCCATGGTGTCTGTCCTCCTGACCTGCACCCCTGGCTTTCAGAGCACATGGATAATTTTCCAGGATGTGGTTCTCCCAACCCATCCCTTTGCCAGGCTGGGAAGCTGCTGGCAGGGCCCTCAGCAGAGCTGCTTCCCTTCCTCAGGGCTCACCTGCCTGGGTCCAGGGGTGTCCAAATCTGGGGTGCTGTGAGGAGAGAGCAAGTGAGAAGCCCTGTGTGGGTTTCCAAAGCTGTTTTTAAGCTCAGGCTCCTGCCCCTGGGGCCAGTGCATGAGCCACATCACAGCCATGGCCATCCTTCAATGTGTCCCTCTGGTTTGGACCCAGAGCTGGGATTGACTTCTTGGCTTGATCTCAGACCAAGTCCTGCTGCATTAAGGGATGCTGTGCCCTCCCTTCTCAAACAGGGCATGTTTTCTTTGCAGTAGCATATATCAACACAGAGTTTGGATGGTGATGAGAGGGCTGGAACACAATCTCCTGTGACTTGACTTGGATTAAACACAGCCCAGCCAGGCTGAGCCCTGTAAACACGGCAGCTTCCAAGGAACTCCCAGCAGTGCATCTGCACTTCTTGGGAAATCTAAGCCTCAAAGATCTGCATAAAAACGTCAGTCACTGCCCAGGCTCAGCCTCAGCCTCGGCAAAGAACAAATTTATGCAGAGCCACGATGGAAATTCATTTCCCTGAGTTTTGCAGTGCCAGGATTTCATGGTGTCTCCCGTTACACTTCAGAGGCAATTTTACAAGGTAGATCTTTAGAGACTTGAATTCTTAATACAAAATAGAAGTGGAATATGAAAGGTTGAAGAATATCTTCTGAGCTCCCCACAGATGGAAAGAAACTGCTTTCCCTTGTGTCATTTTCTCTTGCAAGTAGCTAATGACATGCATTAAATACAGGGCCAGATCCCAAATGTACTTCCCCAGCTGCCAATGATTTTCTTTATGGACCCATGGATGATTTCTTTGTGCTGTGCCCCTCTTCACAGCGAACTTTGCACAAGTGTAGGAAGGACTCTGCTGCATCTGATTGCAGGAGGGTGAATCATTGACACATTTCTAAACAGTTTAAGTAGAACAGAAAACAGAATCAAGCTGTAAGGCCACTGTCTGATTAATTAGAAGGGCAAGGGTAAGAATTAGGCTGGCAGAAGTTTCCCATGTGAATTATTTTTCAATGTGATTGCAAAGCAAAATCAAATTGGGCAAGTTATGACAAAAATATTTTTGATTGCTTGTTGGTTGTTTGGGTTTTTTTTTCAATTTGGGAGAAATGATTTGGTTTGTTCTTTTTAATATAGTAATTTTCAGACACAACTGGAATTGCAACTCCTCCTGGATTCTGTGAGGCAGGAAGGATTCTGTGCCGCTGTGGGACGCTGTCAGTTTCTTTACTTTTATTTAATTGCACCATAAAAACTTGGAATGAATGCAGAACATTTCTCTCTCCCTCACAGTTGCCTTTGTTTCAGTTTGCTTCCCCAAAATTTCCTCTGAGTAAGTGGGAGTGAAACCTCTGCCTCCTGCAGCAAGAGGCATCACTGCAGGTGCAGCCATGGCCAAAATCTAGTTTAGAGCAAAGGAACTGGTTCCCTACTCAGTGGATATTCAGCCTTCTCTAATGGATCAGTGTGGAGCTTCCCACATGTAATATCCAAAACACAAGGAGCTTTCGTGCACCTGGGCAGCCTTTGGTGAGGATGATGCCTTAAGCCCATAATGATTTTCTTATTTTTCTACCTTACAAGTTTTATAGGTAATAGAAGTAGATTTTAGAAATAAACCCCTTTCTCCCTCCTCCCCGTAGTATCCCTTAGTTTATATTCCTCAATCCTTTCACCCCATTCCATACTCCCTATATCACCCTATCCCCATATCTAGTAGAAAATATTTAGTCTCTTGTCAAGGCAACCCTGTCTTGTTTGGAGAACGCTTGTATCTTGGCCTAAACCACAGGACAGAGTCAAAGAACTGGGTCACCCTGCTCTCTGTACGCTGAAGATGAGGAAGATGATGAAGAGGGGGTCCCAAAAAGCCCCCCGACCCAATTCCGAGAGGCGGGCCAGGGGGTGGACCAGGCCAAAAGTTATAGGGTGGACACACTTAGGATTGGCCAAATATTGTTATAAATGTAACATCCCGGGCACAGCCCGGCGCGCGCGCGTCGTAACATCTATTGCCTTGGCATAATTAAACCCTTTCTTATCTCACCCCAGCTTACGGCTCCTGAATTTTTTTCGTAGCACCAGCTGAGCAGGCATCAGGATGGGGGACCCCACAAGGTGCTCCCTGGGAGCTGTGGTGCCATCTCCTCCATGGAGCCTGTGTGCTCACAGAGGGAGCTCTGGGTTTGCCCTGCGTGACTCAACGGAGCAGAGCAGAGAGAGCTCCTGCCTGACACAGCCTCGCTGGCACGGGAGCAACCCTGGGCAGCTGTGGGTGTGCCTTGTGTGAGCTCTGGCTTTCACTGGCACTTCCCAGAGGTCTGGGCTTCTTCACTCCCCTGCGCCCTGGAATGGGAAGGCAGAGCTCTGGGGAGGCCTCACCTGCAATTTTGGGGCAGTTTGGGGCACTGCAGTATAAGAAAGGTCTGAAGCCATTAGAGAACGTCCAAAGGAGGGCAATGAAGATGATTAAGAGCCCTGAGGGGAAGCCATGTGAGGACACTGAGGACACTTGGTGTGTTCAGCTGGAGAAGAGGAGACTGAGGGGAGACCTCACTGCAGTTCCAACTGCCTGGGCAGGGGCAGAGGAGGGGCAGGGACTGAGCTCTGCTCTGGGGGGACCAGGGACAGGTCCCAGGGAATGGTCTGGAGCTGTGTCAGGGCAGGCTCAGGTTGGATCTCAGGCAAAGGTTCTTCCCCCAGAGGCTGGTTGGGCACTGCCCAGGCTCCCCAGGGCAGTGGGCACAGCCCCAAGGCTGCCAGAGCTCCAGGAGGGTTTGGATGATCCTCTGGGACACAGGGTGTGACTCTTGGGGATGGTCCTGTGCAGGGCCAGGGTTGGACTCGGTGATCCTCATGGGTCCCTTCAGCTCAGCATATTCTGTGATTCTGTGATTCTACAAGGAGGAAAGACTTCTTAGCAATTCACAACAACTGTGATCTTTAGGAGCAGACAAACACTCATCTGCAAAGGAAAACACATCCAAAGGAGCTGCTCGATGCTGGTCAGTCACCCAAGTCAGCTTTGGGTTTTCCAGCCTGTTTTCAGTCACAGGATTAGCTCATGGTTCTGCTGGGGCAGTACCTGAGTCACTGAGCAGTACAGATGATGGCACCACTCACAAACCTGCCAAACTCCAGTGAGGTCCTGAAGATGCTCGTGTTAAATGGAAGGAGCTGTTGCATCTCCTTTCTGCAAAGCAGTGGAGGCCACCACAGAGGACACAGACAGAGCAAAAGCTCCAAAGCTCCCTTGGTTGAAAACTAACCTTGTAAAAGTGCATT